CAATTCTGGCCCAACACCCCTATGGTTCTATTTTATTTTCTTTTGTTTTCTTTTCCTTTTTTATTTTCTTTTAACTGATTTTTTAATTATTATCATTATTGTTAATTAACCTAGCATAATTAATATTTTTATAAAAAAATCAAAAAAAAGAACTAACATTATTATTATTATTAATTCCATTTTATTTTTGTAAATAAATACTAATAAATTGAATTAATTTTAATTAGGCAACTTTAACTTTTTTCTTAATAACTAAAATAAATTTAGAAATAGGTTTTATTAACTTTTAATCTTATTTCCTTTTATTTTATTTCATTAAAAACATAAAAATACAAAAAAAAAACATTTTTCTCTTAATTAATTAATTAATTAGATTAGTTATTAATTTTTATTTCATTTAATCACAAAAAAGACAAAAAAAATCATTTCTTTTCTTAAAAGGGTCAACACCCTAAAGACTTCCCGATTAATTTTTGCTCGCGCGCATTTATTTATTTTAATTATTTATGTAACTGTCTCCAGATATGTAATAGTTAAATAGGAATTTTACCGCTTTACTTAATTTCTCGTACTTATTTACCAAAACGGGTCTTTGTTTTTTGGCGATGTATAGACCCGCGCCTTATAATAGCGTAGAATTTATATTTCCGCAATTTACTTTCCGCACTCCTAACTGCTAAAATGCATGAAAGAATGTATGTAAATAAAATTAATCCGTAGCTCACCAATAACATGTACAAAGACAATTAACTGAAAAACAACACATAAAGCACATGCCACTCCTAGGGTACGCCTCACTAGGTTGCCTCGAACGTGGTCGTCAAGTATAGGGTGTTTTAGAAGTCGCCCTCCTGTCTAAAAGATCCAGTCGCCTCGAAACGGTTGCCTCGGATAAAAAAAGGATCTAGGACATTAGGGTTACTTCTAAGGCGTCCTACTATTGCTTCGGTGACCACACTGTCCCTAATAATCGAATTGACCCGAATACCTCCAACGACGGTGCTACCTACCTCTCAATGGTGGGATAGCACTATCTTAAGGATGCTTACAGGTTTGGACTCAGGGGTTCGAATTAGGCGGGGGTTCGAATTAAGGGGAAGGACCTGGGTTCGATACCCAGGTCTTGCATTTTCATTTTATCTAATGCTTTACATGCATATTCAGTGTATCCAGCCAGCGTATGCATACCATACACCACATGATCAACACTAGGAGATCTCATCTAATCCAGATCAACGCGTCCAAGCGCGCAGATCACCATGGGCACTCAGAGGCTATCCTCACTGGATCACAAGACAGAGTTGGGTTCCTTCTATCTTGGGCTTGCGTTTTGCAAGTCATACCCCCCATATTTCTACTGATGTCCTGGCCCATTTGCCTTTTCCTCTTTTTTCTATTTATTTGTTTAATTGTTTTTTTTATTATTACAATATAAAAATCAGATGAAAATCACAAAAAAATTAGGTTAATATTTTTTGGTAAATTAATTAATTAATCACCTTAGCATTTTTTTTTAAAATTAAAATTAAACAGACTTAAATTTTAATTTCTTTTCATACCAAAAATTAAATAAAAAAAAGCTTAGGTTTGTCTTCTTTATTTTAAATTTCACTTTTTTTCAATAATTAATATCTTTTTCTAGGTTAATTAATTAACTTGTTAACTTAAACATTTTCTTAATAATATAAAACCAAAACAAGCAAAAAGATTTTTCTTCTTAGGATTGTAGACGTATTTTCAATTCGTGCGTTTACTTTTACTTTCGCACTTTTGCATATTATTGTACCTGCTTACTGGGATGTAATAGACTTAACTAGGACTTTACTTTACTGCTTTTTAAATTTTCTCCAAGTTTTGGACATGTAAGTAATTTCCCCTCCCCGAAGCCTAGCTAGGATTTACAATTCCCGCACTTTTAATTTCTGCAAATTATTAACTGCTTAGATGTATGATTAATAGATTACATGACAAGATTTAAAAACAAAATGCTGGCGAACTTAATACGAAACTAAAATAACTAAAAACAACACAATTGCACATGCGCACCTCTAGGGTATCCCACTTCGGTTGCCTTCGGAAAACAGTCACAACTCTCAAAATGTGAGAGACTTTGGTGGCTACTTTCCGGTTTAAATGACCTTAAGTTCCTCGATGACCCTCTCGACGTTGCCTCGATAAAAATGATCTTAAAACCCTAGGGTAGTTACTAAGATTTCTTGCCCAATTGCCTTTGTGACTAAAGCGTCCCTTCGAATGTCCCTCAAACATCCAACGACTAGGACTACCTACTCACTAATAGTAGGATAGCACTGTCTAAAGGAAAAGAGGAAAAGAACAACCCTTTCGAGTAAAAGTAGATAGTTCCTATATGCTATGCTCAAAACAAATTTTTACACTTACACGAAACAACTTTCAAAAGCATTTTCAAAAACGCTTTATCAACACTCTTGAGGAATGATACAAGAGTTATCATAAAGCAAATCGCTGCACTAAGGCGCTTTCAAAAATACTTTTCAAAACACACAAAGTACAAGGTATTTTTCAAATGAGCTAAGCATCTAAGAGCCCATAGATAACTACGGATGGAAAGGATGCTAACACCTTCCCTTTCCATAATCTACTCCCTTACTCAGAAAACTCTCGAAAGGTATTTTTCTGTTCTTTTCACTCTTTTCTTTGTTGGATAAAAGAAAATCGGTGGCGACTCTTGCTTGCCGCAACATTTGCGAATACAAACGCAAAACCAGAATAACAGTCAGTTCTCTCACTGTATAACACTCACCAAACTCCTCTAGTACCTCCAACTCAGAAACCTCCAAATCCTCCATAACCATGCGCACCGCCGTCGCCTGGTCCCTATAAACTGGTGTAAAAAATCTACAAACATTGGGAATGTGAAAGAGGACGTCCACTTCATTTAAAGTCACCGCCATCTCTCCAAATGGAAGATGAAAAGATGATGTCTCCGGGTGCCACCCCTCAACAAAAGCTGATAAAAGGGAGGCGTCCAACATGGTCAAGGAGCAATCAGCAAACTCCAAGAGATGGAACTCGCTAACAATCCTCCTCACCTCCTCAGGCATGGGACTCTCAGGGAAGTTCTTCAACTTCGAACCATGAGAAGCGACCTTCAACACCAGACGCTCCTGTAAGAAGCAAAAACAAATTATTATACATCAAATCTTGTAAGCAAAAATAAAAATTATGCAATTAAACAAAACCAAAAATATATACCTCGCCATGCCATATCCTATAAGCGACATGGTCCTTAAATCTTATCAGCACGGACCTGTCTGAAGGTCCTCGAGGGAAACCTCCATCAGTGTATACTCATGGCTCTATAGACGCACAAGTCGTGGTGTCTGTATCAGTATGGGACACCTCATCTACTCGCTCAGCAACAACCTCCTGCCCAGCCTCCTGCACCACAGGCTCCATAATGTGCTCCTCAGCTACCGGCTCCACAATAGGAACATGAGTCTGTACTTTCTCAGTAGGAGCTTGTACCTCCTCAATAGAAGCATGCACCTCTTCAGTAGTGGATACTCTAAGACCCCGACGGCGGGGTGTGCGAAACTGCACATTCTGCACAGCCATCCGTTTCTGGTGAGAACCGGTCAGGGGACGGCGTCCATCCCGTAGCTCTGAAGCATGTGCCTCGTCAACACGGACTTCAGCATCAGCTCTATGAGTGGTTTGTCCCGCAATAGAACCATCTCTGCCTCTGATCCTCACTACAAAATAAGAAAATATCAAAAAAATATAAACTACCTGAAATTTTTAAATTTCCGATATTTTTCAAAAAAAAATTGAACTACCGAAAATTTCAAAATTTCTGGTATTCTGTGACGCACTGGGAATTTCAAAATTTCCAATATAAATGAAAAATGAAAATACCGGATATTTTGAAATTTTCGGTACGAAAATACCGGAAATTTCACAAATCTACCGTAAATTCTCACTTGTTCGTAAAATTACCGGTATCGTCTTCGAAATTTCCGATATCATCAAAAGATTTGAAAAATCTGGTTGACAACGTGAATTTGAAATCAGTGGTAAATGACCTACAATTTAATCTTTTTATACCATTTAAAAAGTACCATATATAATATAGGAGTGACAAGTTAATTTCTCTAAAAAGAGATACCACAAGTATTGTTACAATTTGTGATGTATCTAATTGAGCCATGAATGGGAACCGAGCAATTAACAACGCACCCTTAAATTATAGATGCCACTCTTCCAAAAAGATTTATTTCAAAAATACCCCTAAACAAATTAAGTGGGGTGTACAAGGATTAAATTTTCAATAGTTTTTCAAATTTTCCAATTTGTTTTTAAATTCTGAAAATTAAGAAAGATATTGAAATTTTTGATATGGTACTGAAAATTTCGAAATTTCTAATATAATAAGAAATTTGTTTTCCTATAAAATAAATTACTGGATTTTTCAAAAATTCCAGTAATCCTCCGAATTTCTGAAAATTTGTTTCTAGATATTTCAAAAAATCTTGAAATTTCCTAAAATTTTCGATAAAACTATTAGAATTGTGATTATTTTACAAGGTATAATGATAAAAGGATACCTTTGAGGGGTGACATATATAACATGGGTGGGATGTTACTTCCTCATGAGAACCATGCTATGAAATAATCACTTTGTTGCTACTAATGTTGGCAATGGTAATGCTTCTTATTCCACACTTAAAGACCAAATTAATTGCACCTTTTATTTATCACATAGTAAAATCTTTGCAACTTTAAGTTATACCATATTTCTTTTCCTTTTGATAAGGGGAGAAATGCTAAAGATTGTATAAAATTTTATAAAAATGGAGAAACTAATTGAACCGAGGGGACCAACCCTTTGCACTATGTACAAAAGAGCATCCTCTCTGCATCACACTGAGGGATGATTACAAATCTTTATCTCCTATAAATCTTTGTTGAGCTACACCCAGAAAAAAGAATAATAAATAAAAAATGAAAATTATAGACAATCAAAATCCTTCAACACTAGCCTTCCTAGAGGCTGAGGTTAATGACTTGCGGCTTTCTTGCCTATCAAGCTCCTCCAAATATAGGGTAGAAGAAAAAGCGTGATGCGGAAGTTGAATTGGCACTCCCGACCATCTTGGAGGCGAAACAGATACCAGTGCTCTGGCTGATGGTGAAGGAGAGAAACTCGACCTTGATGCAGGGTGGATGATAGCGTCGAGACTTGGTGATCTTGACATTTGTTTTGTAGAGGTTTGTGCTGGTTCTTGCAATGGGAATTTAGAAGAATGCTTCAAATCTTGTATCTTTTTTAGATTTTCCACAACGGTTCCCATAGTTGGCCTTTCTGATGGCTCCATTTGAAGGCATCTTTGTGCAATGTTAGCTATTGTTCTTGCCGCTTTAGAAGGGAAGCGACCTTTGAGTTGAGGATCCATGATCATTGACAAACGATGATTATCTGATAGGAAAGGCCTGCTCCACTTCACCAAATTCCTCTCTTCCTTGGGGTGACGGCTATCGAGATTCTTTCTTCCCGTAAGTAGCTCTAGAAGAAAAATTCCAAAACTCCATACATTGCTCTTTGGAGTGAGCAATCCTTTCTCCAGTGTTTCCAAGGATAGGTTTCCAACGGCCTGAGCAATAATAAATTCACGAGCATGATGAATGCAAACAAAAACTATGGAACAGATATTCATGATAAAACGATGAAAATGTAAGGGGTATTAGCAAAATATAGTAGGTATTTTCGAGTTACACTACAATATAAATCGAAGCACTTACAGATGAACTGCTTGAAATTTCTTCCTTGGGAACATGTCCAACACAGCCATACCCTGAAAGCTTTGCACTAAAATCTTTGTCAATCTGTATGTTGGCTGTTGAGAATTCATTATACATTGCCTGCAGACGCAAAAGTGCTACGTCAACAAAGAGAAAAACGCACACTTGATCGAATAATGTGCTAAAGGGAGGTCAATCGAAACAAAACAACTAATCATGAAATCCTTGAATTATCCAGACCATTTATTGATCAATCATATAGCACCGACACTTCAGACTTAACGCATGACCGGTGTCTGATGCTTGTTAGAGTACGACACCAACACACATGCAGTTACATTCAAATATTTTACTTTTTAAAATTATTATTGCTGACAAAGTGTCATTGCATCATAAATTGTGAAAAACAAAACAGCCAGGTCCTTTAACTCTCACTCAGTGTGATCTAACTCCACATGCAAATAGAAAAAGAAGACATAGCAACATGAGGTTTCTTCAGCTCATTGCATGATTCAATATAATCTCATACTAATCACCTGAAAAGGCCCTTCTTCATGCAAGAAAGAAAGACCAAGTGCAGCACATATTGCAATTTTCATTCTTGTATTCCAATCAATTGATGGTCCATCAGATCTCCCATACAATAGGCGGTCCAAGCTTCCATGGTGTAGCTTCTCATAAACCAACATTCTATGTTCCGAACCATCACGGGCGTGAAATCCAAGCACTCTACAGAGGTTTGGATGCCGCAAAGATGCAAGAGTATTAACCTCATTTATGAATTCCTTCAAGCCCTGAAAAAAGGCATATAATTTTAGTCCAAAGGTAAATTTAGAATTTTTATGTAAGAAAATTCACAATACTAACAGTAACTTGCAACTGATATCATGCTTCAATTCAATCAGAAAGTATGCAATTCATAACAGTTTTTCAACACCGCAAGGATTTGACAACATATTCATATCATTTGCATGGATTAGAAACAAAACTGAGCAAGGAGGATAGTCAATAGCAAGAAAAAAATGTATAAACACTGCAATATAGCAAGTTGAACAACGCAAACCGAGAAAACATAAAAACGGTCTAAATTGTAGCATTTGTTGGTGAATTTGAATTCCTATATTTTTAGTTAGGGAAGGGGAAATTAGTATTAATTGAAGTGAGACTAATGGTCATTTTACAGCCGTTCCAATCCAAACCGGAAAAAAAAAAGATCAGAACAGTTTTAAACCAAACCAATTGGTTGAACAAATATCAAAACTAAAGAGATTGGATCGGATAGTTATTCCTCCCAAAACAGAAGCAATTAAATCCTGGGACACCCATACATATAAGGGAATGATTCAAAATAACTGTCACGAACATTTATCAACATATCAGAAACAAATAGCCCACAAGTACTGATGATAGGACAAAAAGAAACATCACTAACCCAGTGGCATTTTGGTAAAAGAATAACATGTGGAATAAAATTAAGAATCGATTTTGCGCACCGTAAGAGCCAAGAATTGTAGCTTCATGGTTATCGTGTATACAAGGATGAAAGCAGTTTACCTTTATTGAATCCAGTAACATGATTTATTAACAACTCACATTTCAAAATCACTAACATGCGAATAGGGGATGTATTGAGTAATGACCAATTAGGCATTTAATAATTTGTATGCATGAGAAAACTGAGAAATGAAATTAAAATACTGCACTGCAGAGAAAAAGTACCTGAGTTGATGGGTGAAGGTGTGTAAAACTAAAATACTGCAATACAGAGAAAAGTACCTGATTTGATGGGCGAAGGCGTGTGACCGTGGCTTCAAACTTTTTCGAACTTGAAGCATCATCACCAAAGGAAGCTTTATAGATGGTGGATGAAAGAGATTCTGACATGTATCGATCTGAAGAGAAATTGTGGCAAGCAGCAGCAAGCTCGTCGTAAGAAAAAATTCTAAGTGACCCAGTTGGTGGAAGCGGCAGAGGTCCAGAAGCATATAAGGGACCACTAGCTGTCCCCGACTTAAAGCTTCCAATAGTCTTCAGCGTACCACCACCCTTAGGAGATGGAAGCGGTAAAGGTTGGGGACTAGGCGAACGCTGTTCCTTCACTGATGCAGCTCGATATTTAGGCTCTTCTTCCTCATACTCAATTGAGGCCAAAGCATCTTGGTCTGCTTCATCGAGAGACGATGGAGCAGACAATGCTCGTACTCTATTGTTACTGACTTTAACACTGGATTGAATGGGTTTCACTCTGATCTTAAAACTAGGCGGTGCTGACTGGAGTGTGCGAGTATGAGTTTGAGGCTCAGGCAGTACTGTAGGTGAATCCTCGCCAGGGCTTACGCGTTTTACATACACAATCTGATCAGACTTTTTCTTCTTTCTCTTCAATATAGGAAAACACCCCATCGTATGTACAGAACTAGGATGTTATGGAGAACTGTTTATGTCTGCAAAAACAAAATAAAAGGAGCATAAATAAAAAGTTATATCCGAAACAAATTGCTGAAATTCAACATAACATTCTGATACCCTGCAAAAAATAATGCAAACATGTGTTTTTCAAAGATATGGTGTGACACCCCACTTTAAATTTCCTATCTCCTAACATAAGCTAGGCACTCGATAGAAAAAAGCTAAAAAGAAAATGGTGAACCATGTGCCCAGCCTATCATATTTTACTCCTAATTCTTGTATCAGGGCAGTGTGCCAATGAGATTCCTGCCACACTTACTCCTCACTGTCTTCATTAATGCATCACAACGGACATTAGGCTCCATGCCCATGAGAGATCCATACTATCTGAATACAATGAAATCAAGATTCCTAAATTCCAACACAATTCCAGGGAAGTTTGTGTGTGTCTGTGTGATTCCAAAAGCAAAACAAAACTCCATGTGACCTGTATTGGTGGAGTGAGGCCTCGAACAATCACAATTCAAGAAATTTGGATTATCAAGTGTCTAAAGACCTATGAAGCACGGACTACGGAAACACGACACTAACACTTACACGTTGACACTGATAGTAACTTGAAAAAATGAACAAATTAATCACGAGTTGTAATCAATTGGTTAATCAATCAATCACCTCATAAACCTCATTCCCAACTTATGTCCATCACTAGCCTAATCAAATTATATTATTTCCCCCATTTCATTATCCAATTTCCACAACAAACATTCAACAAATAAAACCAAAAAAAAAAAAAGAAAAAAAAGTATATAAATGCATGTATACCAATGAACAAAACCACCCAATTGCTAAACCCTTACCAGTTCCACTGCATGAATCTCCACATCAAAAACTACATGAATCAAAACCAATTCAGATCCATAATATCAATAAAATTTCAACAAAAGTTATTCAATCAATTTACTTTCACATATCAAGGTAACAAAAAAATATGAAATTTCATCCCAGTAAACAATAATTACAAACAGATTAAAAAAAAATAGCATCCATACAAAAACCTAAATTCCGAATAAAATTTCCATAAAAAAACGCTACAATTACACGAATCGAAAGGAAAAAAAATGAAAATTGCACAAACCTGAATGAGAAATGGTAGCTCATGCAATTCACAGTGGAGCGATCAAAGGTTGAAGAAATGGGGTAAAAATTTATGGAAAATTCGTGTGGTTTTGATTCGTCCACGATTGAACTGTTATAGAGTCAAAGAAAGCAGATTGAAAAAGCTGCGAAGCGAAGGTTTTAGAGAGAGAAAGTAGAAGAATATTGAGAGAGAGAGAGAGAGAGAGAGAGAGAGAGAGAGAATGGGAAATAATTAACATTGGTCAAAGATATATTCAAAACCAAAAGTTAATTTATGTAATTAAGATAAATAAATCATTAAACACCAATGACCAAATAAGATTTGTTATTTTTATTCAAATTTAAATATTTTGTATTGATATAGGAAATGGATGTAGATACACTCAATTACATATTAAGATTTACATGTGAAATAATTTTTTCTAGAAATAATTTAAGATATATCATTTCTTATAATATTTATATTTTTTTGGTCAAAAAAGTAAATACTTATAATTGTAGTCAAAACAAAAATATTTATATAAAGAAAAAATTATATTTAATGGTATTGAATATATAGAAAATTTGTAAATACAAACAAATTTTACTATAAAATATTTTTTTCTAGAAATATTTGAGATATTTTTTTTCTTATAATTTATATATTTTTCTAGTCAAAATAATAAGTACTTATAATTGTAGTCAAAACAAAAATATTTATGTAAAGAAAAAATTATATTTTATGGTATTACATATATAGAAGTTTTGAAATTCAAATAAATTTTACTATTAATTTATTTAATGATGTTAGTCAAAATATATCACTTACTAAATTGTGTTTTCTATTGACTGTTATTTTTAGTTTTAAAAAAATCCATTTTTAAGGTATTGGATATATAGAAAATTTTGAAATTTAAATAAATTTACTATTTTCAATTTATTTAATGGTATTAGTCAAAATATTTCACTTAATTTGCCATAAATTGTGTTTTCTATTGACTGTTTTATTTTTATTAAAAATAATCTTGAATTCATTTAGAGATAATATTAACTAATGTTAAATATAAATATATAAAGTTCTTTCTCTAATTTTAACTGTTGTCATTTTTCTTCTTTTTTATCTTTTAGAGTGGAGTAATTTATGATCGATTTTAATTTAAATTATTTTTTAAATTATTTTTGTTTCTCTATTAATTAAATAAGTGATTTTTTTTTTGTGATTTCGTCATTTTACTATATCATTGTTTGTTTTGATTTCTCGTATTTGTGCAATGTATTTTGATTTCTCATCTTTGTACGGTGTATTTTGTTTTTTCGTCTTTATACAATGTTCATTTGTTTCAAGTTGAAAGATTAATTTCGATTTAGTGTAGATCTAATATATGATTTTGGTGTCATTAACGCTATTTTTAATTTATATTGCAACGATATATTCTACCAATTTAAATGAATAAATATTCTTTATTTTTAATTTTATTTTTAATTTTAAAAAATATAAACATATATTTTAATTGAAATTTAAATATTTATTTTACATGTTTGTTAGACTCTATCCATTTTATTAGAAAAAATCTTAATTGATATACTAATGACATTTTTTATAATATTTTTATAATATATTTTTTATTTAATTAGTATTTTTTAAAATAATTTATTTATAAATATTATCTGCTTGTTGACGCTAATATATAAATATTAATATATAAATATAAATAAATTAGTTTTTTTTACTCGAAAAATTAATCTTTATAATCATGAAATAATATTTAAATTATACTAAAAATAGTTGTTATAATTTTTTCTGATTCAAAAATTAATCTTTATAATTATACAAAAGATATTTGGACTATACTAATAAAACAATAAATTTTATTCAATAATTTTGTTAAATTATTTTACATCCTAAGTGCATAGTCATTACATTCATTAGAAATATTTGTAAATTATTTATATTTTCATCTAAAATAAATTATGGTCTATAACAATGGTCAAAGTCTACTCAAAACCAAAGTTAATTTATGTAATTATGATAAATAAATCATTAAACTCTAATGACCAAATAAGATTTGTTATTCATATTCAAATATTTGTTTTGGCCATGGTATTGGAAATGGATCTGGATAAAGTCAATTATATATTAAGATTTAAATAAAATATTTTTTTCATTATAAGTTTTCTAGTAAGAGTTTAATAGATATTTAATAAAAAATATAAAATAATTTTATATTGTCGTGAGATGAAAATTCATCACTTTACTGTATTATATCAATAACTTAAAATTTTATATTTAACTTAACAGAATATATGATTATTATTAATTTATAGTGTAAAATTAATTTACAATATATTCTATTTTCTCTTCTAAAAAAAAATGTTTATAATTGTAGTCAAAACAAAAACATATGTATAAACAAAATATTATAGGTAAAAGTATTAACTATATGGAAAATTTTGAAATATAAACAAATTTTACCACTTTCATTTTATTTAATGTTGTTAGTCAAAATATTTCACTTTATTACTATAATAATGCTAATTCAAAAATATAAGTTAAAGAGTATAATGACTATACAGTTTTACTCTCTTGTTTAATAAAAGTTCATCACTTAATCATGTAGTATTATTATTTTATACAGTCTACTTTAATGAGATATTGATCGGTTGATACTGTAAAATTAATTTATATTGAATATATCTTATTTTTTTTTAATTTAAATATATTTTTTTTAATTAAAATTTAAATATTTGTTTCCCACGTTTATAAGAGTCTATCCATTTAGTTAGGCAAAATCTCTATACATACATGAATCACATTTTTTATGAGATAATTTTCCTATATTTAATTAAATTGTTAAATTAACATAAAATTTATTATTTATATATAGTCAAAATTAGAGGGTAAATGAATGTGAATACTAAAATTCAATTAGAAATGAGAAAAAATATGTATGATTTTTTAAAGAGGCTTAAAATATATATATAGAGTTTATGGATTCAATTCTCTTGAAATGTAATTTTATTAAATTTTCAAATAAATTTTCAAATAAATTTTTTACAGTTCGTCTTAGTTTTTATAATTGCATATATATATATATATATATATATATATATATATATATATATATATATATATATATATATATATATATATATATATATATATATATATATATATATATATATATATATATATATATATATATATATATATATATATATATATATATATATATATATATATATATATATATATATATATATATATATATATATATATATATATATATATATATATATATATATATATATATATATATATATATATATATATATATATATATATATATATATATATATATATATATATATATATATATATATATATATATATATATATATATATATATATATATATATATTCATATTATGTTAAAAAACAATAAACTAATAATTTTTTATTAACGTGTCAAATTATTTTACATCCAGAGTGGATAGTCATTATGTTCATTAGAAATATTTGTAAATTATTTACATTCCTATCTAAAATAAATTATAGTCTTTTTGGCTTTTTGTTTGGTTTGGCTTCTTTTTTTTCTGCATATAAAATGACTTTGAAGCTACGCAATTTGAATATTTTAGTTTGACTTTGACTAGTTCAGTTCATTATAAAAAAATTCTTTGACCGACAGTTTTGTATGATTTGGTACGTTTCCGTAGTATTTAATGATTGATTGCAATTCTATGAGTATTTAAACTCGCACACCTAGTCATCCATCTCATTGTATTTTTTTTTTTTTTAAATTATTAAATTTTAAAAATATTAGTTTTGTCGAAAATTCTTAAAAAGTATTGGAACTTTTGATATTTTTTTATGAGTTTTTTAAAAGAAATTTCTCGTCAAAGATCGTGTTTTTAAAGAAAGTGAATCAACTGCTGCGTAGATGATTAGTGATAAGGGCATTCTGAATTCTCTTTCAATGCTTGACGGCAAGAATTGGATCCGATGAAAAAAATAGATTTAATCTTTGTTTGACTTCTATGAAACCTTAGAAGTGGTTATCGATGGTGTTCCTGCGTTAACTGCAAATGCAATCGACGAACAGAAGAAAAAAAACCCACAACGAAGTCAAGAAGAAAGATTGCAAGACTGTTCATTACATTCAGACGGTAGTCGATGCTACTAATTTCGACAGAATCTCTCATGCTGAAACAGAAAAAGAGGCATGAGATATTCTGCTGAAGTATTACGAAGGAGGTGAGAAAGTCAAGGTTGTCAAGTTACAAACCTTGCATCGACAATATGAGTTATTATCGATGGGAGAAGATGAAAAAGTTGCAGAATATGCATCAAAGGTTTTGATCGTACCTGATTAGAGTTGGACCCTCACAGTTGGTTTTGAATTGGATTTAAAGGAGATGGGGAGGGGTACCTGCAAGACACTTCGATGACAAAGTGAGAGACGGAATGGGCAAGCAAGTAAGTGTATAGTTGTGAATGAATGAATACCTGACCCTCTCGAAATAGAGGGTATTTATAGCCCTCGGCGCTGGGCCAATGTCCCTTTATTAGGTTGATCAAACAAGCCCAACAAAGAGACTGCCAGGTTCTACGTGAGTAGTTGGGACCTGCACGTGGTCCCTTTCCTGGATGATGCTCTCCGTAGAATAGGGAGGGTAAAGACGTGATCTTCCCGGGATCTTAAGGACTCTGCGAAATCCAGAGAGGTTGAAAGTCTGCCCTACGAGGAGGGTACTCAAGCAGGGCTTGGATTGGGATGTTCCTCGTTTGGGACGTCCCTCGTCGGGGACGTTCCTCGCAGGCACCGGGGTGGCGTAGTCGCATTCGACCAGTCACCCATGATCGGGGTGTGCTCGGAGGATCTAATACTCATCGTGATACGTTGTGAAGCTTGGATTGGGTCTCACTGGTGATTGGGCCACGGGCAGGCCCAGTCCAGAACAGGAGCCCCCCAAGTTGTTGCTCCTGGAACGAGAGTTATGACTTGACTCAAGTTTGCTCTTTCGCGAGACTCGCTT